CAGCTGTCAGCTCCTCCCTGTGAAGCTCCTGTTCTTTGCACATCCTGCACCCTTGCAGCCCATCAGAGGAGCTGTGGTTTTTAGGTACTGCTCACAAAACTGTTTTGACATGATGTACCTACTGTATGTAATAAGGGCATCATTTCCCCTGAGGGGCCAAAATGTGCTTAACTTCAGCTGCCCTGACTGATGTGTGACTTCTACCTGAAAATGGCACCTGAGTGATAGAAAGCTTGTTTTCAATTGAAATTGGGCTGTAGCAAATGTTAGGAATCTTATTCTGCTTTTGCCCTTTAGATAAGTATTTTATTGCCAATAGGGAATTAGTTTGTTTCATAAGCTGCTCTGGACTATTGTGGGGAAACTAAAATGATGGCCTTCCCTTTCTTTTGATTTTTGCCTCAAATTTGAAAACTGAGCAGTAGCAATTTGTTAAAGTTTGTTGTTCAAGCTGCTTGCTTCTAACAGAAGTTAGGGAGCCAGGCGAGTTCTGCAGAGGTAGCCCACTGGGGATGCTGGATTTTGAATGGCAGCTCAGTGCCCTGGAAAAGTGTTTTCCTTTGGAGCTGCCTACGGCAGAGCAGTACTAATGCAGGGCAGAGCATACACAAGAAGGATCTCTTCAGTGAACCATGCTGTGGAAAGATGGAAAGCACTTGAGAGGAAAGCTGTAAATGCAGCTGTGCTTAATGGCAGTCCAGAAGGGATGCTCTAAAAGTCAGCCAGACTTTTTGAGCTCAAATAACATTGAGGTCAACTCAGGATACTAGGCCCGTTGCCTGTAATTTGAAAGTTGTTCAGAACTGGTGTCACCTGCAGCAGGGATACAGCCTTATGTCAGGGATTCATCTTCCAGTGGGAATGTATATTCAGAGAGAAAGCTTTGGCTAATACTGAGCATAAAAACAATGGGAAGTGATTACTTAGTAATTAGTGCTTTTTACAGTAGCTCTATAAGTCAGTGAATACAGTGCTCTTCCCCCCATCCTCCCCAAGAAAATGTGTTTGCAAGTCTATGGGAGTTAGCATGGGTGTATTATTTTGGGAAAGTAATAAGCCTGACCTCAAAAAGGAGGCTGTGTTGAATTTTTCAAGCAGGTGGTAGTAAAAGTGTCTTGTCCATTTAGTGATCTAAACCTTGAGAGAATATTGTGTGAAAACTACAGCAGATAGGTTCAGAAAACCTTGGACAAGCTAAAAATGGGAGGACGTCAGGATGCTATGATACAACATCTAACTGTTGGCATATCACTGTCTAATTGTTCAGTGTTCACTCACCAGAACAGATAACAGATAGCAATGTTGAAAGCTGACTTTTTTTCTAGGGAGTTACCAGTACTGCATATGCCTCAATTAGAAGTAAAGAAAGTACATTTCAATATAATATTATGAGATGCTGCTTTGCTCAGGTAACAGCTCATTTTTTACTTCCTTGCATGAAAATTGTTACGTTTTATGCTACAGTGAGCACCACGGGGCAAGATTACTTGAGGAATACTTTCTGCTGAAGAGTGTTTTGGGATCTTTTTCTCCCTACAGGAGAGCCACACAGATGAGCATGAAGGTGAAGAGCAAGTCCATGAACAGCCCCAGCAGCAGGATGAGTACTGACTCACGCAGCATCTCTGACAATTTTCGTTTTGTGTGAGAACTTTCTTCTGGAGAATGGAACATGTGCGGCCTCAAACTTGAAATCAGTTCACTCCCAGTCTGCCATTAACATTTATGTACCATAGTGAGTGCCAGCCAACCACTGCATTCTGTACCAATACTTTGCCAAGATGCATTTGCAGGCGTCTTCTTTCAGTGTATCTTCCCAAGAGGTTGTAGGGCTACATCACCTACTGTACATCACTGCAACGTCACCACTTGGCTGCTTGAGATTTGTTCTGCTCTTTAAAAATATATATATTTATTTTTATTTCTTTTTCGTCTTAAGTATGATACACTTGTAACTTGTTCTAACATATTTATATTGGCATTTTGTGTGGCAAGGAGTTCTGTACCACTAGCTGTGTCTCTCACTTTGTGGTGCTTTTGCGTTTTCTAGTACATCTGCCTTGGGGCACCAATTTGGCCAAGCAGTTGAAATAAAGGGATCCAGTGGATGTCATACTCAAGCCATAATGATGAGATTGTGTTATGGAGGAAAACGCTTGTGTTGCTCACATTTATTCTTTTCCTGCCTTCACAAATGGAAGGCAGAGCATCTGTTTCACTGGGAAATTTAAACCCCTGTGTTAGGAATCCTGTTAGAAAGCTGCATGGTATGTTTTTTGGCTGATTTCTGGAGGAACAGACATCCACTTAAGCTTTTTGAAAACCCTCCCAGTTTCCTAACTAGTCAATAGACATTTCCCAGCTTTTTTTCCTTTCTGAGGAATGCAGTCCCAGCCTCCGGCCACAGCTCTGCATCCACAGACCTCAGTGCTGAGGGAGGAGAGAAATCTCCTTGACACAAGTGTGGCTGCAGGACACAGTCTGTACCATCCTCCTTGGCTTCCCGCTTCTCAGAAAAGGAGAAAGTAGGCCAGCCATTTCTTTCCACTTTCCTTGCCCCTTCCACTGCCCCAGCCATACAAGTCTAGAAGACAGAAATTTTGTCACTAGTGCAAAGTATGGGGAAAAACATCAACAGCACTGGCCCCAAACTGTACCCCAAACTCCCCAGTAAGTGGATGGTGGACACTTCACAAGTTTCAGGCTGCTTCTAAAGCATGGAGAAGCAGTGAGGAGTCTCCTGGAGACAGGGCACACATTAGAGGGAGACCATCTGACTGAGGGCACAGAGCTGGTTCTGCTCTTGGCTGACCTTCCTCCTTCAAGGCCACTGTGGTGCAGAACCATGTGTGCACTGGAGATGTCTGCAGTGGGAGTGTTCCCTTCCAGTGTGGTCCCATGGCCCTGTTCTAAATGATGGTATTTTATAAGGAGAGGTATCTTGAAGTATAAAAAGCATTCCTTGTTGTTCTTCTACCACTGTGCATTGTAGTCCCTCTGGTTATTTAATGCCTGGTATTCTTGGTATCTCACTTCATTTTCTGAGTTCTGGTTTGTTGTGCTGATTTAGCAGGTATGTGGAAGCCCCATCCCAATTGGCATTCACTGAAAAACTCCACAGCCTATTGGACAGCTAAGTTATTTCAGGTGTTCATAGGCTTCTAAAGTGTTAGGTCCCCAGCTTATGCTTCCATAGAAAGGTTTCCAATATATTTCCCCAGGGACACACACATGCACATGCAGTTTTCCATTCCTAATCAATCTTCTGCAGCTAAGTGGCTCTTAGTTACATGTGAGAACCCTGCTGTTGTGTTGCACCACCAACAATATATAAAATGCTGTTGAGCACAAGAACAGGTATTTCCAGTTCCTTGATCCTCCCTCTGCACAGCAGAAGAGTTTCTGGACCCTGCAGGCTGAAGTTTTCCCAGCCCTGCACCCAGTATTGACCTCACATCCTACCCAGTGATGAAATCAAAGTACTGCAACCTGCAGGCCAGCGCTTTCCTCTCCCTTCTCAATTGGTTACAAATAAGGTCTGGTTTATAAAATCGTGTTTTTTCCAAAATAATTGTTTCCAATAATCACCACAAATGGGGGAATTGTCATTTTTGTTGTATTTGTGTTTATTAGAACATATGTACTTATTACAATTGTCATTGTAATAAACAGTAGTTCTTCATAATACTGTTGAAGAGCAGTTACTAATTTTTTTCCAGACTCCAGAATGTCCTTTAACCTTTATGGGATCTCTGAATGGGGCAAGGAGTTTGGGATCAGGCTATAAACTTAATTTCATCAGCATGTCTCTGCTTACTGGAGTTCATCCTTCTGCCAATACTTGAGCAGGTGCATGGAGAGCACTTCAAGGGAGAACATTTTTCTGAAGGTGCAAATGGTTGTGGTTGCTGAGCTCCCCAGACAGTTCATAGCCAGGCTGTTGTGCCTCTCTTCTTTTCTCTCTTTTGAAAAACATATGAAAAAAATTTAAAAAGCTAAACTTCATTTCCTGAAAATTCCTTGCATCCTGTTTCTGATCTGAGGATACATAGCCCCTGTATCAAGGGGGGAGTGACTGATGCAGGGAGCCAGGGCAGTGAAATTCTTTGGGGGCACCAGAAATGTGGCTGTGCTGAGGGGAGAGCAGTGTTCTGAAAGGGGAAAGAGTTGTCCTTCCCCCTCCACCCCCTGTGAGTAACCCATTCTTCTGTTATGGTTTTAATATGCATTTGTAATTACCTTTACTAAATAGCACACCATAAAGCTTTGGTTATATATTAAATGTAAACTGAAAGGAATGTAAACATATGTATTGTTAATTATAAATAGATAAGTAATGGCATAATAGATACAAAAAAAGTCTTATTCAGATGTATCAGTCATTTTACATTATCCACAAACTGTCGCATGATAGAGTAGATTTTTGTCTGAATATGTGAATAACTTGACTTGCGTTTATCTTTTTACATATTTAATAAAAAAATATATGTTAAAATCTGTCTAGCTCTAGAGACTATTCGGAACATTCTAAAATAATAATTCTCTGGATTAAATACATATTTTTGATTCATCAGGGGCTGCATATGGGAGCAGGAAGAAAAAGACAGCTGCTTTAAAAACCCAGAAGTTCACTTACCCTGTGTGTGTGGATAGCATCTGTTTCCCCAAGAGCTCAGCAACCGTATTCCCTTTTATAAATAAAAACAGAAAATGCATGTATGTATGTGCATGTAAACAGCACATTTTTCTTTATGGCAAATGCTTTCAGATTTTGGAGTGCTAATTCCCTTGGGTATCAGTCTGAAGCAAAAGTGGCAGCAGCCAGGAGGCAAAGAGAGCACTACAGAAAGGTACCAAATCTCCCAGTGGGCTTCCTCACAGTGGCCAGGTATTCAGGGAAAAATCTTCAATGCAATACTTAAAATTTACCTAGAGATTAAAGTATGAGGTTTTGTTGGGAGAGAAGGGGGAAAATGTATTGTAGTTCTCGCAGCTCTTGCAGCTCTGGTCTTTTGTAGCTGCTGCTCAGTCACAGGAGTTCTGGATTAGGACTCTTTTCCTCTGTGTTGAAGTGACCCTTTTGTGAGCCATCAGCTGCACCCCCCTGCTGCAGGTGTCCGTGGGCCTCTGACAAAGGAGGGGAGGATGAAGCAGGGACCAGAGGAGCCTATTTCCAACCTAGGTGTTCAAACCTGGGAGAGCAGCTCTTGTTTAGCTGCTTTTACATAAGACCAGGAGGAAGGCATATCCTTGGGTTAGTGCAAATGCTCTAAAGCATTAAAAAAATTTTCTATTTTCCAATTCAGACAGTTGAAAACTTTCTGCCATAATGTGACCAAAAAAATGTATTGTTAGACTGTCAGGTCATCTACATACCTGGTTTGCAAAATAAATCTGTGACCGTACGGCCCTATGAACAAAAGCATTTTTCTTCCTATTCATTGAACCAGTTGTCATCTACAACAGCTAATAATTCAATATACACACTGTGCAATACATGATCTCTTTTTATACTTGTCTTTATACAGATTGTAGTGACAAATTGCTTTAAAGAGGAAAAAGAAAGTTATTTGCCATGTTTTCATATAGAAGGTGAAAAAACTGGCCAGAGATTAATGTCCTTTAAAAGTGATACTCAATTTCTCTTTAGAAAGGTACAAGTGCAGGCAGGTTGTGGTAGTTCAAGTTTTATAATTTCATTTAATGAATATTTCAAAATATTCCATTCCAGTGCAAGAAATTGCACTGCTTGTGACCTTTATTTCCAGCTGTTTCCTAAATAAGTGCAAGACAGAAAAAGGAAGCCTGTCCACAGAGTTTCTCCTGTATGACCACATTCAATTTGCAGTTATTTTTGTTTATTGTATCCCAATTCTTTTCTCACCAGAGTTTCCTCAATGCTTGTGATGGAAAGGTGAAATACAAACTGCCTTTAAAAAGCAGGTGAGACTTTTGTGGCAGTGTATCAGGTATGGATGTAGCATTTCACTTCATCAAATGTTGAGACTGCTGGGTGCATGCAGCAACATCAAACTCATCACTCCCCTTCAAAAACAGTCAGAATGACATTTTTGACATCAAATAATGAGACTTCAGACTTACTCCAGGGGAGTCCTTGGGCAGTTAGGGAGCACCTCTGTGGACACCTCATGTTCTCTGGGCATCACACAAGGTAAGGGCATGGCTGCCACACCAGCGGGGAGGAAGCCTGGGAGATGCCTCCTGTGCTGGACCACAGTGGTGCCAAAGGACATCCTCCCTTCCCTGCCTGGCTCTTGGCAAAACCTCTGACTCAGCATTACAGCATGACCTGTCCCCTCTGCCTGACTCACACCTAGAGCTGCTTGAACTGTGACTCATCTGATGTTTGTTTGGGGGGTGGGTCGCTCCATGTGCTTTTTTGGTACGTGGAACATGGATTCTTTCAAACCTGAAGGAGCTTTCCAGCATTTCTGCTTTGTGAACAGAGGAAGCTGATGTGCAGGCTTGTCCCCTGGTGCCTGTGGCAAGGGCTGCCTGGGGAAATCAGCCCTGCTGGTGTTGTGGTAGGGCAACTGCTGTAACAGTCAGCACCAGCTTAAGCTGAAACTGCTCATACAATTTGCCAGTGCTCAGCTGAAAATATTAATAGAGCTACTGATGTAAGGGTAAGTTAACTGGGGAGAAAAATTATCAGGCTAGTGATAAATGTTCTTAGAAATGGTCTAAGAACTGAAAAAGATGAACATCAGACTCAGCAGCTCAACTGCACTTCCACCTGGCTTCTGGCAAGTGAGATGGTTAAATATTAATAAACATGCCAGGCTGTCAATCACAGCCCTCTGTGCTTACCTTGGGGAAGTGGACAGATTGTTTAATTAGTGCTTCAAGGCCACAAAAGCCCTCTGGCTAGGGCAGCATATGAAAAGACATGAAACTCAAATTCTTACTCCCTCCTCCAAGGCACACAGAAAACCCACGTGTATTATAGATGAAAGGAGCCATTTACATCTGCATGCATACATGTAATGTTTAAAAAAACCTCTTGTTTCTTTTTCCTATGACATTTTCTAAAACCACAAGAATTTGCTTCAAGCACATAGGCAAATAATGACTTGTTTAACATTTTGCACTGGTAGATGATGTTGGACTGAAACTAGTTTTGAAGAGAAGTATGCAAATCTTCCAAGGTTTGCTGGCCAAATTTATTTTCAGCTGTTTATCTTTGTAGGCTATATTGTTTGTTGCTACTGAAATATAAACAATGTGCTTGTTACTGCCTAGAAAATAAATAGAAGGGCCAGATGCTGCTGTATTAAGTCTACATTTCTGACAGGTCAGCTGAGACTCAATGCTGAGAATGGGGAAAAAACTGTACATTTCAAAAACACTTTACTGTACCCACAGCTTTCTGAACTCATTCTCTTGTCTTCACACATTCAAATGAGGTGAGGAAAAGACTAAATGTGCACAAGCCTTTCAGGAGGTTGTATGGAAGAAATGAGTTGTGAGAAAATAAATATGGCAAATGAAGCAGGCACAGATGTGTGAGTGGGAAGGATGTACAGGGAGGGTTTGCATTGCTGAGGTCCCACTGATGACTGGGCTGGGCAAAACCAGCGCTGGTTATAAACCACCGAAGATCTTGTGTAACCCAGCATGGATTTATCCAGGACTTTGGACACAGTGGTAAGGAGGAGGAAGACAAAAGAGAGGTGAGTAACATGGCTTGGTAAAAATAATAAATATCAACAGAACAACTTGGAAAAGTTCTCTGCTGGACAGGCATCTTCTTCTGAGATGAGGCATCTGGCTGCATAGCTCATTGTTGCAGTGGTTCAAATATCTGTACTATTCTATTCTTTGGTTATTTTAATCAGATTCATTCCAACTATTTATCACATCAGAAGAGCTGCAAATCTCCATGTCAAGTGTTACAGTCTGATCATAGTGCAGGTGTTCACTCTTGGACACGTTTCTTCAGGGAAAAGATGTAAATGTTCAAGTGCTCGCTCAGCTGCTTACCCTAAAGAGAAATCACAGAGATTAGCAACTTGTTTTGTATGTGCTTCACAATTCACTGCCTTTCCTCTTCCAGTGAGAGAGGGAGGACCCAACCACAGTCCTCACATACTTGGGGATCCCTGAGTACACAGGGACCTGTAAGTATTCAAACAAGAGAGCTGTTTTCCTTACTCTCCTCTTGCAACACACTCCTGGGAAGTTAAAAGGCTACAGACCAGATTCACAGGTGACATAAGCTGTGATGGAGCTGGGCCCCTCAGTCAGTTGTGAATTTTGACCAGGTATTTCCATTCTGACCCCTACCAACAGGCCCATGTTGATGCTTGGGTAGACTCTACTGTGCCACCAATCTGCTGACAAAAGGCTTCTTTCAAAGAAAAATCCTTACATCCCATTGCTGTGGCTTAAATAAAAGAATGCTGACCAGCTCCCTCTGAAATGTGACCGTTGCCGTGCAAGGTGTTTTATCTAAAAGCTAAAGCCTTTAAAACAGTTGCTAAAGGATCATTTGACAATTTAGAAAAGTGGGCATTAACAAAGTAAAACTCAATTAAAGCAGTAGTTCAGATGACAATGACAAGCCTGAGATGTAGCAGACACAAAAATGTGCTGGTAAGATTGAATGAACTGGAAAACTATTCATGTCACCAGCTTGAGAGATGCTAGCAAAGGGCCAAGAAAAAAAGTGGGACAGCTATTTTGCCTGCAGATTCAAAGCAAAGTTGACCTTATTTTATTATTTCTATTTATGTCACTTTGCATTTTACCTTTGTATTTTTTCAGTCAAGTGACCTTAGGAAGAAGAAAGGCAAAAAAAGAGAGGTGGATACATTCGTGCCTCATGGGTCGACTGCTACGTAAAACCAGTTTATAAATATTCTGATGGGTTTAAAGCTGAAACCAGTTGGCTACATTGGAAGAATTCGAGTCACTGAAGTTGCTGCACATGCAAAAAGGTATTGCCTGCAATAAATTGATTTCCTTTTTTTTTTAACTTTAGACTAAATAAAACAACACACGGGACTAAAAAAATAAACCCCAAACATAAACATACAGACTCCCAGACAATGCCCCAACCAAAAACTGTTTGCAGACCCCTCTGCTCACCACGCAGACGCCGTAGTGCACGTGGGCAGCCGTGACCAGGGTGGTGAACACGCCGAGAGCCGCTTCTTCCATGCGGCCCAGCAGCCCTGAGATGGCTGCGTACACCACCAGCGCCAGTGGGAACAGGAACCAGTGGAACAGCTCCGGCCGCGTGCTGCTCATCTGGCAGATGATCACCTTGCACTGTCGGAGCAAAAGGGGCCAGGTGAGAAGTGCTGGGCCAGCCCTGAGGATCTAAGGAAAAGTATTTCCATTTTCTCCACGGGTTGCTTTGGGTGAGGGAGAAACAAGGCTGCAGTTCAGCATGGGGCTGGTTTTTGGTGAGAAGGCTGCTGTAGGCACACACCTTTGTGCCTCACTGGGTCCTAGAGGACATTATTACAGTTTAAAATGCACCCTTTCCTGGAGACAGTGTTTTGATACACTTGATAAACAGAAATCCATCTTCACAAAAGGGGAATTTGTTTGCCACCTTATGTTTTCACAGGGGCTCATAAAGTTGTGATCCTAAATCAAATGTGCTACTACCTAATTAATCACTGGGAGAGTGTGCTGGTATTTTAATCATGCAGCCTGACAGAAATATCTTCTGCTTCAGAAGGGAGGGAAGACAATATACGACATTTTCACATCCTGTTTCTCTTTTCTAGCACTCCTTTATGTACTAAAACACCAATTTCTTGGCTCAATCATGGCAGTGAGCTCCCTGGAGATGAAGCTGGGGGCCCAGAGAAAGGGATCCTACTCAGAATGGTGGAAAAAATGAATATATGGTGCATGGTTTAACTGCAGACAATTAGCTTAATTCTACGGAGTTCTGGAAACATAATGAGACTAATTCACTTGAAATTCAGTATTTTAAAAGCAATTAAGCACACCAAAGTGTTTTGTCTGGTTTAGGCTCCTTAAGAAATGTCTCTCATATATATCATGCTTGTTACGAAAAAGAAATGGAATTTAGGCACATCTGAAATATTTTATTGATTTAAGTTTCACTCAAAATTGAAATGCGGTTAAAAATAGATTTTATGTATCCTGAAAACAGCAGAAGAATGAAAAACTCATTCCCTGTGCAGTGCCTGAAATCTTATGACAGCAGCAGTAGGAGTCTGACCATAGGAAAGAAATACTGGCTTTACTGCCTATGCTGTGGAAGCTGAAGAATGCAAAAATAAACCATGAAAAAATAATTAACTTTGAATAGTGGAAGAAGTAAGCCTTTGTACCTAATGTTAATATTTTCACTTACACTCTCAGTATTGATTGTGAATTTTTTTAATAACACTGGTTTTATGAGTCCCTTGGGAGTCATTCCAGAGGGTAACATAAATTTCTAAAGCAATCTATAAGCTATATTTTTTCTGCCTACATAACTGAACCTGACCATAGGTTGGATCTCACTTTGTTTTAAACCGTTATTGCACTTATATATTTGGGTGACCAAATACACGGTCAACGGTGGGAGAAGTTCCAGATACTGGAACTGGGATGGCAGGTAGAGAGCCATTGTCTGCAGTTTGTGGTCTGCAGAACAGGAAATGGAAACCCAATGTGTCAGGCTATCATGGAGAAGAAAAATATTGCCATGACAAGCCTTCCTCTGTTGCTGGAGGAAACATGTCTAAGGAACCAGAGGAGGTGAAAGGAAAAGCAGGCTTGATTTTGAACTCTAGAATGTTACAAATTCCAGCTAACACCCGTACATTTTTAATGCTTGCTTTTAAAATGTTAAACTTTTCAGCTATCACGCATACATTTTTAATTCGCACAAGCCTCCAACACTGCAGTGTATGTCTTGGGAAAAGAAAAAAAAAGCCTGAAGAATATGTATTGCACTCAGTCTCTGATAAACTGCAGCCTGTAAAGAAACCTCTGGTTTGCCTTCCTCTTTTTCTTCTGCAAGCATCCTGCCACAATCACTTTTGGTTGGTTAAGATGTATGTGCAGAATGTGCCATCTGCCAAACTCTGAAAGCATTTTCCCTACTGGCATGAAGCAATTGTAGTTCTCATTTTGGAATCCCCACTATTCTCTTAAGAAAAAGGGGTTGATTAGGTAATAAATAATGCATACAATAAAACACATCTGAAAATCAAATCATTTTTGTGAGATTAAGTCCTTAAGATGGAACTGTTTGATTTGTGACCCTCAGAAATGTACATTTATAGGATACATCTAACAAACATCACAATTATAACTTTTTTTCCATTCCTGAATTCATATTTCTAAAGGGGCTGTACTTTCTCTTTTAAAAGATTTTGAAGATGTGTCTCATAGTACAAGACACTTCTAGCCTTCCACTTTTTAAACTGAATGTAGCATTGCTCAATTGGAAAGATTTTAGGTGGTGTTGGAGACTATTTTCCTAAGATGACACTAGCCACTATCCTCTAGGGTATTTTTGCTTAAATGCAAGAACACCTTGCTGCTTGGCTGCTCTCCTGGCTTCCCCCAGAGAAGAAAGCCCTGTGTTACCTGCAGGGCTCAGCACCACTGTCGGGCTGCCCGTGCTAGAACTGCACAGAGGTTGATGTTGTCCCTTGGGAATGAAAGGGGGCAAACTAGTCACCATGACATGGTACAGGAGAAACTAATCTGTGAGCAGAGAGCCATCACGAGACCCCTGCAGCTCCTCACATCTTTCACTAGAACATGCTGTCACCGATACAGCCCTTTTCTAAATGGTGAAGGGAAAATGTAGGATCAGCTGAACTGCAGGATACAGAAATGCATGGACCACAGCAATGGACACAAGAGCAAGGGAAAGATACAAGCCTCCCACTCTTGCTAGTAAATCTGTGCCAGCGTTGACCTCTCTTTTACTTTGACAAATCCTCACTTCTGCCTCTATGTTGGGGAGTTATATTTCTGGAAGTAAGGCATCCCTAGGGTTTTCATAAACCCTCAGGAAACAAACCAGAACCTTCACAAAAGTGTTCCACTGTGGCAGAGGAGGTATTTCAGTACTGTAAGTGTCCCCAGTCCAGACACATACTGTGGTGTATTTGTATGAGACAGAGTGTAACACAGAGGTAGAAGAGCTACATTTTCTGCCCCCTTCTGCTTATTCACAGAAAAATAGAAAGCTATCTCTAAATAATACCACCACCTCAAATATACTTACAATAACATTTGAGAAAGCAACCCCAACCATCCATAAAAACAGTCTGGGTTGCTTTGCTAATATGTTGCTTGGAGATAAAACCACCCAGACTGTAAGAAGAACGAACAGTAACAGAGGTGACACAAGAGGTAGCAGTCCTTCATACAGAGAATCATTCTTCAGTGTTTTCTTTAAATGTGCTCTGGAAATAAATACAGTAATTTTGTAGAGAAAGTAATTTTATCAATTCTATTTCTACACAGTAACTTCAAACTCTAGACCAAACTCAGCCCAAGAATTCATTTGCAACCAGTGCAAATGTGCTAGATACCAGACATTTTACAAGAAATTGAGGTATACCCAAGTAACATTTATTTCTGGGGTTAAATTATACTGATTTATTCACATAGTTCCTGATTAGAGGACACAGTCTCAAGCTACATCAGAGAAGGTGTAAGTTGGATATTAGGAAAAAAAATTTCACTGAAAGAATAATAAAGTACTGGAATGCTCTTCCCAGAGACGTGGTAGAATCACCATCTCTGGATGTGTTTAAAAAAAGACTGGACATGGCACTTGGTGCTATAGTCTAGTTAAGGTGTTGGGGCATAGGTTGGACCCAATAATCTTAGAGGTCTCTTCCAACCTCATGATTCTGTGATTCTGTGATCAGCTTCACTTGCTCACCATTGTCTGGCAATGGACCAGTAAACTCAAAAAAGTGAGCTGCAGTACTCTCAAGCATGCAGATATGCTGTGCATTCAAAATACACAGCCTTAGAGGATGAAGCTTCTAACATGAGACATAAACTTGTTTCAGTCAATACGCCCCACGTTTTCAGCAGCAGCAGAGTGAAGCACATGGCTGGCAGGTATTCCTCTTGTTTAGATCTGGAGGTCATGCTGCTTGAGGATCCTGTACATTAGGATTTTGGTACTTTAGTCCAAATACTGCCTAAAGGGGAGGCATTTTGGCTAAGTAGAGCACAGAATAATTAATGATACATTGTGTTTTCTTGGGTATTTTAAGCTGTTTTTAAAGGTAGCAAATTATTGCATTTTCTGTCAGCTTGGGAAATGGTAACTGTACGTTCACTCCCACTAAACCATTCCTTCATACAGCCAGTTCAGAAAAGCAATTCTGTGTTTAAAATGTACTGGGAAATGTCCTGTTTAAAATCTTTGAACATATGTATTTATGGAAACAGCTAGACAAAAATCCAAGAAATATCTCTCTCATGCCAAAAAGTAATCACCTACTCCTAAAATAACAACTGAGAAGGGACATCAGGATGAAAAAAGAGAGGAGATGATTGGAAAACTCAAATCCTTCTTCACCAAAGAGCTTGTGCATGTATCATTCAAGCAAACCTGACTGGTAGTTTAAAATTGCTGTGCTCTTCTCTTCAGAGGAATGATAAGCTCAGCAAGAGGCTTGAGAGGAACCATGTCAAGTGATGACTTAAAAAGAAAAATACTGAACAAAAGTCCTGATAGGAAAGGAAGGAAACCAAACCCTCAATGCTCATTGAGGTAAAGGCTGCTACTGGCAGGGGCTGACATGCACAAGGTGCTTCCCCCTCCTCCTCTCAGTCATCCCCAAACAAGATTTCCTTGCATGGCTGGTTCCCAGCCCCCTGCCCCACAGCCCAGCCTTTCTGCAGGTTCTCAGCCTTTCCTGCCCCACATCTCCCAGCTCTCCACGCTTCCTGCCCCAAACCTGGGGCTGTGCATGCTTCTGGTAACTGCACTCAGTACCACCACACAAAAAGGGCTGGGTAGGAGAGATGCAACATTGTCTTATAGACTCTCTAAAATGTAAATGCTAATATTAGTTTCCACTAATTCCTGAAGACAGGCAGTGACAGTCCCTCCTCCAGGACACTTAGGACCTGAGAGACCTGAAGTGACAGATGAGTGAAATGAGCTAGCAAATACTAGGGGAAGACAGGCAGCATTAGTAAAAATAGGCCATTGGAATATGAACTAACTGAGTATAAAATTCTTGGGTGCAGCAAGCCAGTTCTTAGATGTAATCACAGCTTGCCACCTGCCTAGCTTACATCTGATAGCAATTATCTGCAGACTTCATACAGAGGAGAGCTTTACAGAAGGACCAGGAAGACAATTAAGGACTTCACAGAGTGCAGGATGGTCAGCTACAGAATTCCACCCAGCACAGGCAGAAGTTACAAATCACATTTGATTGCAAATAAAATGCAGTGTTTTTTACTACAGAGCCTTTGCCAGTTTACTGTGCAGGACCACTGTGAGACTGCCTGAACAACAGCAAGTGAAAGAAAAAGGAGAGAGTTGTAAACATTAAAAGATTCTGAAAACTCACCAGAAAAACCTTTTACTACATTATAAGGACAACATCTGGATGAAAGAAGCTAGTCTACTTCAAGCATTACATTTATCTGTAAATGAGGAAACCATTAAATATACAGAATTAAATAGGAGGTGACAGAATTACTTAATGTTAATTAACTTACCTGTGAATGTTGTATAGTGTTTGTGGAAACGACAGAAACAAACTGAAGCCTGGAAGAGAAAAACATTAATATGTAATTCCACACTGATGACCTCAGAGTTTTTTCATATGATAACAGACCTTGTGTACTATTCAAAAAATGATTTGGTATTCCTGTACTCAGTACAGGATATGAACTGAGGTTGGGGGCTTTAGACAATAATAAAACTGTCCTCTTTTTTCCCAAAAGCTAGCTGCTGGAAATAGTTGCTGATACCGAATTTCCTGTGTAACGAGTGACAAGACCAGAATTTTTTTAAAAAATTCTGATATAGCTAATAGGATCATTATTTTTCATACAGGTTTGTCTGCTGGACCCAGAACAGCCCTATTTTTCATGAGCTCCTGTTTATCCTGTTTATCTAGAAAAATCTGAGTCTAACACCAAAAGCCTTACAGTGGAATATAGAAAGACAATAAACTTCAAGCTGGGCTGTTCACATTAGTGGGGAAATAAGTTCATAGTTCAAAATATTAAGGGTCAACTAATGATCTATTTTGATAATACAATAACTGAAATTAATTAATTTTTATGGCATGTCCATCATTTGAACAAGTGAGAGTTTTTTACTTCTATTTTAACACAGCTGTGGTGTTTCTGGAGCTCAGCTGTAACCCACAAAGCACAAGGGTTTCACCTTTGCTAACGCTGTGTCTCCCTGCACTGCTGCTGGTATTATCAACCCAGCTGCCAGCAGCCCCTGAGCTGCCTGAAGACCCAGCTGTATCCCCTCTGACACCCCCATCCAAAATGCACTGGTCCACCCAAGAATCAAAGAAAACTTTCAGCAACAAGTGGAAGCTTGAGATTTAAACAAAAAACCCCACTATATGAGTCAGTCCTAACTAGGTGGAAATACATATGACTTTTTAAATCGATATAATTCCCTGTAGAGCTCTTTGGTTTGTATTTTTCCCCCCACTTTCTGTGTATTGAGGGCTTTTTCCTGGTCAATTTGCTGCTTGGAGATTGCTCTGGGTAGCACATTTCTGCACGGCTTTTTTATTATAGGGGATGAGACTTGGGTGTGGTGCACTAAATTAATACATTATTCCTATTTTATTATGGGCAAGAAAAGCACTCTGATGTATTAAACTTTCTGGTTTTGACCAAAAATAACTCCTTGAATTCTGTACAGGCACTGTGCTGCCTGTATAGAAAAGTAGAAAACTTTAATCTCATTATTAGCAATAAGGGGGTAAAAAATTAATAGAGGAAAGATATGATTTCAGATGACTTTGCACTGGGGCTAATGTGACATAGCAGTGTCTTGAGGAGTGTCCGTGTTTACCCTTCAGTCCTCATCAAGGACATACCCAAGTGTTCAGCATGCCCTGGCCACAGTGGCAACGCAAGAAAAGGAAATAAACATGAAAGTGGAGATCAGGATTGTTGGGGGAAAAAAAAGAAGTAAAAAGAGGTGCCATAGGTAATCTGTCTGTCCAGTCTTTCTGGTTATCTGCTAAAGAGAAGGAAACAAAGAATTGGAAAAAAAGAAAAGCCAACCTGTAAATAATTTCAGGTATTGCATTCTTTTTAATGTTTACCTTTTGGGTTTGCTTCTTAAAACAATTAAGAGCTCTGCTTCTTTACCATGGCAGAAACTCCCTATCAAACAGCTGAAGGATGTTCAATTGAAGTAATATCCCAAGTATTTTGTCAATATATTTCTAGAATTCACAGGCTTAGTGCCTTCAGAGTGATCTGTGTTTAATGTGCACTGCAGTTAGCTATGTTTCCTATTAGGCAGGGAGCGCTAGTTCAATAAAATCTTGAGTTACGTACAGCAGTTCCAACATCTGCATCACATTAGAGCAGACATGAGACAAAACATTGACTCTTGAGGTTAAATCTAAATTTCCTGCTGCAATCCTGAAGTTTGATTTGTTAGGAGAAAAGCAGCTGAGAGGAACAGAAATAGAGACTAGAACTAGAAATAGAATTCAAAGAGCAATGGTTGCCAACAATTTGTTATTTTTATGAAGTGCCATTTTAGTTAGAAATAACACACTGACCACAAACAGTCCCCCAGCTAGCAAAAAGCCACTTTCCAAACGGGGCAGTTCCACCAGTTACTCCCCTGTATTTTTACACGCCTTTGCTTTAAACACAGCGAGAGAGCTGAGGATGCAGCAGGGAAAGCAAAGGGTGTTTCCCCGTTTCTTATGGGATTTTCAGAATTCCATCATTTCCTACATGTTGCTTTCCCATCTTTTTTTAGCTAAAGAGGCCTGGTTTGGGGGCTGCTTTTGGTACTCATTAAGTCTGCTGTTTAATTGGCATTAAGGATCCCTTTGTGCCCAGGAGCTAAACTGCTGCATTCGCATTGCTGCCATTCCCTGCTGCTCTGAGGAACAAAAGGTGCAGCCTGGAAAGCAAAGCCACTGCTGGCTCTCTGGCGCTCAGCCACCCAGGCACTGCCCAAGTGATGATCATGGAGCTTTTGTTGTTGTTGTTGTTTGTTTGTTTTTAATGTCCTAAAAGTACATATTTTATTTTAAAATAAATTTTATAATTCAATTTCAGCGCATTAGATGTTTTAACACATATGGGAAAATAGAACTCCTCAAGTGTTCTTAGAGGTAGAATACTGCTCTTCCAGGATTTTTTAGTTTCTTCTTTAGTATTTTCCCATTCTTCAGCTGATTTAAAATCTGAGACCCAACTGTAAGAACACAGGCCTATATTAAAGGCAGAAATACCAAAGCACAGATGGGTGGCACAGATACACAGGGAATTCTTGTGTCACACCAGGCTGAAAGTATCAAGCCCAAATCCTCGGATTTAGGTACAATCCTATCGTCAGTACTCTGTCCTGCACAATGTAAACTCCCTTTTCTGAGAAATAAACATTTTTAAAGCTCTTTATTAGGAATTATTTTGTCCATATTAAAAAATGTCAAACATAAGCATAAACAAACAAATCCCAATGCATCCAGAAATTCAGGATTAAAGACATATCCACAGTGAAGAAGTGAAGGCATTATCTTGTTTTCCAAATATGTATGTGTATAAAAGCACACAGATACACACACAGACATGCATATAAATATGTGTGCACATATATATATACATATATATGTGTATATGTATATATACATATGTATAAAAGAGATCAAAAGGCAATTCCCATCAATCTTAAGGACAACTTTAGGTTTCATTTATGCTTTCAAATTCAATTCTAAACCACTAAAGTGTTGTGTGATACAGCTGAATAAATTAATAATAATTTTAAAAAGCTAGGACACGATGGGTACCATGATACCTTGTCACCCATGTTGTTTGGACAAACAGTAATATATTTTAATTATGTGAGGGCATTTTAAATGCTCATGTAACTAAATTTAAAGACTATTGATGATCTGCAGGAGGACAGGTTGTTTCCATGACATGCTGCAGTTACTGTGGCTGTTGTACTTGATTTAATTCAGGCATTTCTGCAAAATACAGACTTGATCATTGTAGAGAAAGAGAGGGTATGGCCAGGAACAAGCTGCTGACACTACTGTCAGCTCCAGAAAATGCTATTTCAGTACCCAACGGCCCCATGCTGGCACTCAGACAAAGCAAACAGCCTGATGCAGGTAGCCACATTTCTGAAAACACAAAACCTCACAGACTGTAAACACTGCTAAATAAAGAAGTGACTCCAAGGCACCTAAACCACTAAACAAGTTATAGTGCTTCAAAGGAAGGACAACCTTCACTGTTTATCTTCTCCACACCTTTGCTATCATAAATCCCCTTTGTTAGTAAATTCTTAACAAATCAATCATCCTTAAACTGTCCTAAGAAGAGCACTGAAATATTATTTGTTAAGAATTGGCTCTCCTGATAGCTAAAATCAAAAATTCAAAAATGAGACAGTGCGATACAGAGATGTAATTTTAGGTGAACACTGCACTGGGAATTGTGTGAATGTGTTCAGGAAAGCACCATCCCTGCCATGCTCCCCCCCACAAAAAATACTCCCCAGAGCACTCATCCCATTTGGGAGGCAGGGAAGAGGCCCGTGCAGACCTTCTGGGCATATCACAAAGCTGACCAACTCTCTTAACAGCAGGTGGTTGTACTTGCATTACAGCTTACAAATTAAATACTATCACTCTCCTCATTCTTCAAGTGCCCACACCTCTGCATGGCCTTCTTCAGTACACTGCTTGGCCTTTCCATCTCTAGATTAATAATTTGTCATAATCAGTGTTTGCTGTAAAGAAATGGGATGTTATAATTTACCTTTCTTAACCAGACAAGAAAAAATAGATTCCAAATATCCAGGCCTCAGTATTAGCTTGGAAGATATTTAAGTACTTTTTCCATGGTGTTTTTCTCAAATTCTTTGCACATTTAGAGCAGCTAGACACATGAAAATATCTTAACACACTGAATGTTTAGCACACTGATCAGTGCCTGGAAGCAAGCTTCATCAAAAGGTGAACATTTTAGAAGCACTTGTTTCTGGAACAGGAGCTTTCTATGGACCTTTTCTGGCATGTCTTGAGCAGACAACTCTTTTAATTGATTGTGCAAACACATAATTGCGTTTTGAGCTGTCCACTAAAAAACCATTATATTTTATTACTATGTAAAATAGCAGACTTAAAAGAACTTAGTAGTTGGGGGGGAAACCTTAGAAAACAAATATATAATTTGCAGGCTTGAGACTGTAAAGTCTGAATACATTAGGATGAAAAATACACCCAAAATCCACAGTATGAAATGGTTTTACAGGGATTGAGGGAACATAAGGTAAACATAAGCACTGTCTTCATGCACAAAGTTGATAGAGGTTTTGGGTGTTTAGCATCTAAGATATTTTTTCAGTATAAAGATTTTAGAGGGATGCATTTATCATGCTTGTTGAAAAGAGATGTGTTTGTTGATTTTATACCTTATTTTCAATATCTAAGGAAGTACACATGGCATTTATCTTACTGAGCTGTAAGATAACAAATAGCATTCAGAGGGATTTAGTATCTATTGAAGAATTAGTTTATGGATGTAGCTGCT